CCAACCCGCATTGAGCAAGCGAGGTAATTAATGCTCTAACCTTCTCCGTATGAGAAGAGGCCTTTGCTTAGCAGTGGGCACTTATAGGCTGATGATGATGATGATGACCCTAACTAGCTTCAAAGGAAGAAGAGAAAATTTTTCCGCCTTTTATAGTTAAACACGTTCATTGTAATTACTCATGTTTTACTAAATAAATATGTCTTATAGTGAGATTATACCAAAATATAAATTGATCTCTTGAGATCTTTGAAAAATGTATTTTGGTGAACGCAGTAAGAGTAAGGGAATATGGTATAAGACTATACAATCCGAGCATCCTTGAGTGCCTTAGTTCTCAAATAAGCATTCAGAATTCGGTCTGCCCACTACCCATTAGCAAAGTTTGCACGAAGAAGGTAGACTCCCCAAATTGCACAATAAGTGGTAAAATAGAGGACCTTGCAACATTTGTGTGCTTGAGAGAGAGTCGGTAATGAGACGGTTTAACATTAATAGGATGGATGTAGGACTCCTTAAGCGCGCTTTAGCTGATCCATTATTGGATATGGCAAAAATGTTACTACATGTTACTGCCACAGCCTTAACACTGACTCCCTCAGTAGCAAATAAAAATATAAAGTTATGTATTTAATTTAGGGAAATGATAAGTTAGTACAATTTGAGTACAATGGGTTTTATATGTCCTACATCTATACTTTATACTAATATTATAAAGAGGTAAGTAAGTTTATAAGTTTGTATGTAGAAGGTAATCTTTGGAACCGCTGCCGCGCTGGTCGGATTTCCGAAATTCTTTCAATGATAGATAGCTACAATATTCCTGAGAGATATAGGCTATAAAACATCACGCTACGATTAAATGGAGCCGAGCAGCGGGAGAAACCGCGCGAGAGTAGCTAGTGGATCAATAAAACCCGAAATAAAAAAATGTCCATGGGTACTCAAAAATTAAAAGAATTTCTAACTATACTTAGTCGGGTCATAAGTTCTGTCACAAACTTTTGATGTAATAACTTATACGCCTTTTGACAATTATTTAAAAATTATATATGAAATGAAAGGTCATTAAATGTACAATATAATTTTATTTACATTATTCGAAATGCCCTCCCCCATTTTGAACACATGCCCTTAATCTACGCGGCCAGTCATCGATCGCTGCACGCACCACATTCATATCTATGTCTGCCGCTGCTTTAACCAGAGATGCTCGGAGAGACTCCAAATTCGGGTGAGGTTTAGCACAGACTTTTTCCTCCAAATATTGCCATATCTTGTAGTCCAGTGGGTTTAAATCTGGACTAGAAGAGGGCCAGTCTTCATGCCGGATGAAGTCAATTCCACGAGCGATCAACCAGTCTTGCGTACTTCGTGCCTTATGAGCCGGTGCAGAGTCCTGTTGGAATATCCAATGCCTGTTCCTGAACATTGTCTGAGAAAGAGGTTCCACTATGTTTGTTAGGACAGTATTTTGATAAACTTCGGCACTAGTTCTCACACCTTTTTCACAGAAAAACACCTCAGTTACGCCTGAATATGAGACTCCAAGCCAAACCATGAATGAGGAAGGGTAATGCCCACGCTGGACCCTCGCAATACGCGCGCTTGCTTCTTCACTGCTGTGGGCATACACCTTATCATTTTGTTTGTTAAAACTTTCTTCAATAGTAAAAATTTTTTCATCCGAAAAAAGAATTTCGCGGTATTTTTTTCCCGCGTACCGTCGTAGCAAAGCGCGGGATCTGTCTAGCCTAATTTTTTTTAAACGCTCGTTCAAAAAATGTCCTGTCTTTTTACGATAAGCTCGTAGTCCCAGGTCTTCATTTAGTACTCTTTTAACAGTGGTTCTGCTTAGCCCCATCTGCAGAGCTAGGATTTTTTGTTTACGTACGGGATTTCGTTCGATTCGCGCCTTCACTGCTTTGATGACCTTATGTGTCCGAACTGTGCGAGGTCGGCCGCTTCTCTTACGATCTTCGAAGCTTGACTCTTCGGTGTATCGTTTGATAGTACGATAAACAAACCGTAACGTTATTTTCAAATTTTGAAGAATATTGAAAATGTCTTTTGGCGCGTAACCACAGCGGTGCAACGCGATAACCGCGATTCTGTCTTCTTTATTCGACCACTCCATATTTAAAAATGAATAAAAAATAATTTCTTTTTTATTTTCTACAAGCGCGAAAGTTCTATTTTTAAAATAAGTCGAAGAATTTCTGGCCAGTAATCGAAAATTAAAAATATAAGGTTTTGACAGAACTTATGACCCGACTAAGTATTATGGAAGTGTACTAATGGATGTATAGTAACTTTTTATACGCAATTTTTCAAGGTCTAAAAACTTAATTAAAGCATTAGGAAAGAAGAAAGGCTAATACAACACGTAAAAAAATGTTCGTAAATGTTTTATGTATATCGCGTATGGTATGGAGTTTCATTATCAGTTCCGTTGTTTCTATAATTTTTGACGTGAAACAATGTTTAGCAAAATTGTGGTTTTATAAGTCAAAATTATTTGTTTTTGACCGAGGAAACTACGTATAATTACTACAGCTAGTTAGTCAAGTAGCTCTTTTACGTGAATTCGACTGTGAGTCCAATACAACTCTTTTAGGTAAGATTAGCTAATAATAAAAAATAATACTAGGTACGTAAATGAACCACTGGGGTTGCGGGTCAAGCTCAATAATGTACCGTAAGTTCGGGTTACTTTGACCCTGGGAGGTAACTTTGATCCAAATTTTCGAACCAATGAAAAACGAATATATGTTTGGTTCTCAGTTATTATTGGTTAAAGGGTTTGGATTAAAGTTACCCCGCAGGGTCAAAGTAATCCGAACTTACCCTGTACCGGGGTCCCTGCCTGGAGCAGGAGAAGGAAAGCAGTGTTTTCTCTGATACTCCCACCCCGGATGAGAGACGTAGGTACATTAATTACGACATTACGACAATTACGACGACATCCCCATCAAAAAAAAAAAGAAGAACATAGGTACTACCACCGTAATTATAACTTGTTTAGTCGGAGAGCTATTGGAATTTCTATATACCATTTTTTTTAAGTATAAATTTGCACGAATATGGGCTGATTTTTCAATAGTGGGATAATTGTTTTCCGAGAAATAAAATTGTTGCTGTCACTGTCTTATACAACACGCGACAACATCATAATAATTCCCCAGATAACTTCTATCTCACTATTGAACGAATTGAGAACCATCCTCCTTTTTGGAAGTCGGTTAAAAATCAGCCCTAAAAGGGCTGATAACTGATAACTATAAAGGTTCTCAAAATTTTACAAAGAAAAAAGTTCTGACGCTGCATACAAATTATCACGAGCCTGTTTCTAAAATGATCATTTTTATTATTTTATTTAATTTTTAGGATGTGAAGTAAAATCGTATTGGCATTTGAAAAAATACGAAAGATTTTTCGCATAATTTAGCCAGATTGCTGTTATTATTTCTTATCTAAGCTTTTATTTTGTTAAGTTTTTGGATAAGCTCACTTGCTTTGAGCTGACCAAAAATATAGTTTACGAGATAAAACTACTCCAAATGACAAATCTTGTACTTGTCTTATCGCAACCGATAAAAAATTCGCAAATAACAAAGTGCTGCAACTGCCATCTAGCTGCAGCTGTTTGTATTAACTTGTAACCTGCTACTTGCTAGATGGCGCAATAGACAGCTTCATACAAGACATAGAAAAAACATTGATAATATTGCAATATAAATGATGATTTACTGTGTAAATACGTATTCAATGTTTTTTATAATATGGTCTATTTTCTTTTCAATGTAAAGCACGATCTTTCTTCTCTGCTCTCCTTAAACAAAACATCTAGCAGGTGCTAATGAACTTAGCGTAAACTCGTTTTTATTCCTTTTATCTATCCTTGTAGGTAGGCACCTACCTACAGTTTTTATTGTTTAAAATACTTGCCTACTATTCTATTTATCATATTATGATATATCATATTGATTAATGTAAGTAAAATGTCAAAAAAAGAATTTATTTTTTAACTCTCAAAAGATAATAAGTATCCGTTAAATCAGAATATTCTTTTTGTACTAAATTAACTTTAAGGCTCGTGGCTTACGAATGGTCGTTGATTATGATAGTCTTTCTACATACCTACTATGTTTAGACGTATACGTGGACAGCGTAGTACAGTTGTACCAATTTGTATCTGCTGTTAAAATAATGAGTTATAACCTCTACTACTGTGTTTTAAGAGTCATTGAGTGTGAGTCACACTCCACTGGCTTTGTATATTTATACAAACATCTGTCCGGCTTGATATTTTGTATGTAATACCTACTTTCAATTCGGTAGTAATATTCATTCTCTGTCGGAGTTCAACGCGGTGCGCGCGTTTCCATGTGTGATAGTATACATGCAATTATGTTGATTCTATTTTTATGTAATTTCTATTGAATATCACTAGTGCAAACAGTGATAGCAGTGTTGTGCACAAAGCTATGTAAACAAGCATCTTAAATTGGTGTAATGGAACGAATACAAGTTTTGCAAGATGTATGAGTAACCAATGACCGCAGGGCATCCCTGCGCGGGGTCGGACAGGGTGGGGGGAAGGGAAGACCAGATTGCCAACTACAACTCGGTGAATTCTTGGTTTATCTCGGACAGGATCAAAAAAACTTAACAAGTGAGTATAAAACTGAAATACTAAATTATATTACGTAATTACATTTTTGTCAATGTTTTATGGAGTTGTATCAATCTCAAAATGTTTAGTCAACCAGCTTTGAATTTAGCTCGGTATATCGATACAATGTTGTTATCATGATTTGCTAAAAATATAAGGCGAAAATAAACATTATTTTAGGCGATGGTAATTTAATTTATATCTTGCGAAACTTTGCTTTTACCTTATTAAGATAAGTACTTACTTCATAATGTGATCTTAGGAATCAGATTACCAAGCAAGGCATAACTTTGTCAAAAAGCAATAAAGATAACGGAAGGCTAGAATTTTAATTCCAGGAATATATTGCATACGTACAATACCTGGGCATTGGCAATCATTATCAGTTGCTTCTCCTGATAAAATATTGTTAAAAAATACTGATTTTGAGGATAAGCGGTAGATCAGTTATTTGCGACGGAAAAGCGACACGAGCGCACGGCGACCTCGAGCGATGGCGCGGGGAGTGCGGGGCGCTGGGGAATCCTTCTGGCGCCAGACCGGCATCGGCGTCTACCCGCGCCCCGCCCTCCTCCGCCTGTGCCCACACCCGCACAGGCCAACTCGAAATAGATGCACGGTGATTTACGCCTCGGGCGTATGAGTAAATATGTTGCTTGCCTGCCTGCCTTGGCACGTCCGCCCGCCCCCGCCGCATGCCGATCTCCGTCCCATCTCAAAACTCGACGTTCACAAACTCGATGGGTCATATTGTTTTGAATCAAAACACCGAACCGGCTAGAATTTTAGAAATACGCCAAATAATTGTTTAGGTGTAGATAAAGGATATAGCTGATATCTAGTGACGTTATATTGACTAACGCAGTCGGAATATTTTTGCAAGTAGGCATGTATGTTCTAAGTCAGTAAATTAAATTAAAACGAATTTTACACTTGTTTGTATAAAAGAGAAAGGTAAACAATTATTTTCTCCAAATTTTTAATTCCATGTATATTGTAGAAAATGTGTCAGTCCGTTACTGTACGCCGCACACGCTAAAATTTAAACATAAACACAAAATCATAAATTCTTTTACAAGTTTTTGACTTGTAGGTACTCATTTGTGCACCTCTTAACAATCTAAGGCAAAAGCCGAAATCCAAAACTACTATATCAAAGTATCTACTACTAGTTGCGTGCGCTAGTCATCACAGACCGACTCACCCGATTTCGCTGAACGAATGCTCGTATTACGGTGAAATGAAGGGTGGCAGGTATTTCGGCCTTAACTGTTGTCTTGCAAGGGACGACAATGCATTTTTTTACTGGCGTTTTGCAGGTGCCTGGCCTGACTAACAATAGATGTTGTGAATAAATTATTATTCAAAAGCTTGCTCCTGGAGTTCTTAAAAACAAAACCTTATAAAAAAAGTCAAAACTAATCGACTGTATTATAAAGGTTACTAACGGTTGCAGATAGGGCATCGGAACCGGTTTTTCCCGGTTCCGAAAGAACCGGGAAATCCCGGTTCTGGAAGATACTGATAGAACCGGTTCTGTAAATAAAGGAACCGGTTTTTTCGGTTCTTACGGTTCTGTCTTAAAATTTTAAAAATAATATCTCTATAATACTTTTAATGATTAGATAGATTCTAAATATCAAGTTATTATCCAAATTTTCGTTTCCGTTCACGGGATCACAGGATCACGGACCTTTAGAAGGCGTACGAGGGGTCGAAGCCAACTCGCAGAAGCCCGTTGAACAACTTTAATTTAAGTGAAATGGGACATCAGCCGGCAATTATCCCTGTATGCACTATGAAAGTGCTCCCAAGGATAATCCGCGGTTGATCTAGGACTATTGCGAAATGTGGTAATAATAATTGAAAGGGTTATGGGTATGGGTTGCTATGGACTGGTGGATATGATAACTATGGAAATACTATGGCCCCTACCCCTGACCAATATTGATATATACGGATAAACAGGCAGGAGGTGACTGGCAAACCCAATAAAATGGGCCCCCGGAAACGGCCGCTAGCATGTAGCGACACGGAGGCAACATACGTTGAGCTGCTTGGGGAAGGAGAGGCATCCCACGGCTATCAGAGCAATCTCGGAAGTACGGTCAAGACCCCTACCAGCACCTTACTGAGATACATCCTTCCCCTGAGTCTCCTTCAACTCCTACTCTTATCCAAATTTATTATTAAGACAGAATATATGCTGTTATTTCACTGTTAAACCAATAAATAACGTTATAATTTATTATTAATGATAGATTTTTAAGAAACTAACAAGGGACATTGAAGTAAATGCTCCATGACAACTCGCGAAATTCAAATTTTGGACATAATAAAATAACAATAGTTACAAAATAGTTAAAAAAATTTGTTGTAATTTGAGTGTAATTCAAAAAATTTATAAAAATGAGAGACTACAAATAGAATTTATGATAAAACCCGAAAGAACCGGGTACCCGGCGCCGTCTAAAATTTAGAACCGAAAGAACCGGTTCCTGAAATAAGACCGGTTCTCGATGCCCTAGTTGCAGACCATTTATAAGTACCTATGTTATTTCTTATTTAGTTGATTTATACAGGCTATGATCTGCGAGGGTAACTTGCTATCAAAATTAAGTTTAACATTTTGGTATATGCAATGTACCTATCTACATTTATTACAGCCTTAGATTTTTGTGATTACATTCAACTGCAATTTAGCAGTTTTTCATCCAATTCGAATACATTAACATTAATTTTGATAAGCGAATCGTCCAACCACAACTTTATAATGTAGGTTTTTCCATAGTTATGATAAGGGTACCTAATAACCGTAAATGACCTATGTAATTAATTAGGTTGGTCGCATTGATATTTTTCATTGATTAGTATAGATATACATTGCTCTCATACATAAAATGCACTTCGTGACAATGGTCGAGCCGGGAGCACGAAAAAAACTTGATATGTTCGTGTTGGCAAGGACCGGTTTTACAGGTTTCGTCAATCCTGGAAGACTTTCGTTCATCACCGTCATTTTCATTCATTTTGCGATCGTTCTTTTTTACCCTTTACTGATACCTATAGTTGGTACACAATAAGTAGGTATTTTAAAACTTCTAATTATCACTAAATATCCCATTTTACGTATCGTAACGTTTCCCTACCTGAAGTTGAATGTGGCTTAACATTACCTAGGAATTCATTCTGTCGGATGTCTTAAACAAAACTTCATATTAGTACCTACGTTCACATTACAAGCAAACAAAAACAACAATTTATTGATCTCACAAAATTCCTAATTGTCCCGCACGGTAATCAAACTGTGCGCAGTTACTGTACTGTAACCACTGCACTGTGTTATCAATCCAAAATTATCAATGTGCGTATCCATTAAATATATTTAATGTTATTTCGTGCGTGGTTATGAGCAATATAATTTTTGTAGTGACAATATTTAGAACAGTTGAGCCGCCCTACCTATACTAAGCAAAAAGTATTAATATGGTAAGAATACGTTGATACTGAGCTCGATGCATTTAAACAGACATTGGCCAGGTGGCCCAGGTGCATTTAAATACATGCACCTTACAGGTTTAGTAACTTTCTGAACTGCACCTCAACATAAAAATTTGCACTTATTTTGCAGCCCATTATAAAGTTCCTATCTATAGTTGGTTTTTCGTGAGAACTTAGTAGCGTTAACCTAATACGTCGTACATTTACACTAGAAAATTAATTATGTAAGTGTCATAGAGGTCAATGGGAACAACAACGGGTAGTCAATACTGAATTATAAGTAGTTTTCACGTAGTCAACTTGTGATCAGTCAGGTAATTCTTTCTTCATTCTTGTGCGATCACACAATCCCAAGATTCCATCATTTCATTTATAATTATTTGAGGTAGGAGGCTGCTTAAAAATTTGACGTTTAGTTAAATTTGAAGAGATAATTCTATTATAATCGAGGTTTTGATTGAGTTACCTTTGATATTTAACTTATAATATTTCACTATTTATTACTGATAACGGTACTTAGTAATGATTAATGAATGGTTGCAGTAATTGAGTCCGGCTGTGCTCATCATGCAACATTTAGATTTCGAAGAGATATTTTGGAACAAATATCTACTTAGTTGCTTGTTAAAGCTGAAACTCTAGCTTTATTTAAAAATTAGTGAATTTTAACAACTTGACAACGAAACAAAAATCCTTAAAAAATACTTAAAATTACACGCTATAAAGGATAAGCAGAAGTAGCAATTAGCAACACCAAGGAGATTGTTTTTATGTTTTCTGGCGCGTACTTTTCAGTTATGCAATTAATGAGTTTCACAGAAACTCTAATCAACAGCAATAAGCCGGTGGTGAAGAACTTGTTAGTCGTCATTTATTTTCTGAAAAACAATCATTTACTTTTTTGATTCGGTTACTTAGAAGTGAAACGCAGCAGTGCCCCTATCTTTTAAAAATAACTTCACTATAATAGAGGGAATCGAAGAAGATTCTTGGAACTATCGGAATCGTAAATGCGAAAATGTTATATGGCTAGATACTATAAGTGATTATTGTAGGTGAGCTCCGTAAGTCGCACTGACGCGAGGCGAGAGCGCGGCGCGTGCTCGGAGGTAGGTAGGTGGGTATTCTGAGAATTGCATACTGGCTGAACAACACTCAACAGTTTACTGTGAAGAAGTTTTTAGTCTTTTAGTAAAACCTAAGAAAAACTTCGGCCATCATTTTTACTATAGCTTCTCATAAATATTATGTATATATGTAGGTGCTTAATTAGTAATAATTACCTAACCGTAATGTTAATAATAATTACCAAAACGTAATATTAAAGTTAGGGACCATTAGGTGATCAGAAGCTCGTTTAGATACAATTGTAAAAAAATTGCGATACCATCGATAGTAATCAAAATCATGAAATGACTTCGCTCCATCGACGTCCACTTCCCTGAGGATACGCCTATCACACACCCACCATCCACCGTCCTCCAGATAGTCCTCAAAATAATCCGGGCGTTTCCTCCCGTCAGATCCAAAGCGCCTACCGAAGCTTCCGTGTCCGGTAAGCACCTGCGCCAGATGGAAGATGAGGACGCTATGGCGTCTATCTACTCCTCAAAGAAGGACCTTAACTGCTGCTCGATTGTAATAGACGTTGCTTCCAATCTGCCATGAGATCGCGACGGAGCTCATTCCGCGATCAATTTTTTCGGGAAGGAAGAAAAGATTTCCTTGAATCTCCAAAGATACGTTAAAAACGAACAAAAGACTCGTCTTTTGGTGCCATTGATGGCTGTAAATAATACAAAACAAATTGGTTTGGGTTCTAAGCAGACAAACTGCACTGTAATACAATTTTTTTCAGTTTGGATGATGTTAGTACCTACGATTTGAAGAAACTATAAAGCAACCACGATTTATTTTTTTCAGTCGGAGTACAGTAAAAACTTGTCTCTCTGTCTTGAGCCCAAGACCAGTAATGAACTGGATATAAAAATCTTCAACAACATTTTGGTCAATATTTACTTTTTAGTTGTTTATCATAGTAGCTGCCTGGTGTTGAATGTTTAGTAGCAATTCTATTGTCATCGATGAAGTAATCAATGTTGTAAATACTCGCAATTAGACAATTACTTACACAACAGAAGCGACAGATGAATAATCTCATAATAATTATTTCATTTGTAGGGACTGATTAAGCAACTGTTCCTGTTGAACTAGAAAGCAACTTAGGTACAAGGACTGAAATACTTGCATTTGAAAAAGGATAAGTTAAGCTTAATGTTGGTATTGGTAGGTACCCAGGTAGGAAGACATTATACTTTTAATATGGGAGAATTGTAATTCAAAAATACAATTATCATTGCTTGGTTATCAACCTTAGCAATCTAAAAAGTATATTTTTCTGATAAAGTAGGATATTCCTTATAAGTATGTAAGTAGTTACTTACCTACCTAAATTCTTTATTCACATAAATACTACGAGCACGATATAAGCACTGTCTTATACTGTTATCAGTATTAAAGTATTTATCAGTGACTGATTTGAATTTCGAAGCTGAATGTGTGTACTTTTTAGCAAGAAATAGATATAAATTTATCAAAATATATTTGCGTCAGCGAAATAAGATTATGGTTGGGTTAAGTTGGTTTGTAATATGTACAATCATAAATGTTATCACAACGACGAATAGGACCAGCAGAACGATTAATTATTATTGTGTAAGTAAATGTAAGTAGGTATGTAGGTAAATTACTCCCCAATAATACCTAAACACGGTATAGGTACGTCTATGAAATGTCTTATTATCGTGAAATAAGGGCAATAAAATCTAAAATGCTGACTTCAAATAGAAAATGAAATGAAGATGCTTATATAAAGGATTGTTTTTAAATCGATTAGACTATAAGGTATAATGGCATGTAGCATCCAAATCACAAGTTAATACTTACCTAATGATATTGTGAACCTGTGTGTTGCGGTAAATCTCTATCCGTTTGCTTATAATTCAACTGATTATTTTACATTTATTTGTACGGTACCTCATGCCTCTGAAAAATAGTTTAACCTAAAACACCGCACTGTTAGAGACCAGAAAGTGTGTGGGCGGTAAGAATGCCCCTCGGAAGCAGGAACATTTCTCTGGCGAATACCCAAAACTACAAGATCATCCTAACGTTTCTTATTCCTAAATACCCAAATGACCGTAAAATCGTACTTATTTGTTCTTTTAAAATGTAAACAATGCTAAAATTAAGTTAATAAGATCTACTGGCGCCCTAGGCCCTTTTCCAGTTAACCTTAGGGTCTCTGCCTAGGCCACGTGATCAGATGTAGATAGGTACTTGAATGTAATATGTACACAATAAATGAAATTTGTATAAGTAACAGCTATATTTGATAGATAATTCGATAAATTAATCTCTCCGATAATATTTGAGATAATATGTTGTATACGAGATGGTCAAAGTACCTGATAATCATATTATGACTATTTAGCTACTCTTTCCTTAATTGCTTTAGTAGGTACTCTTTCCTTAATTAAAACCTCTGCTTGATCTGTAGGCCATCTATAATTGGTATCCTCATTAACTTATATTAATTTACCTAGTATGTGAGACACTTGCTTCGGCACCAAAGCTCGTCGCCTTAAGAGAAAATAACAGTAGTGTTTTTCATTTGCTTGCCCCTTTCATCCCCAATCTCCAAAAGGCGCAAAGGACTGATAACTTCTTTAGGTGTTGCGTGTATTCAGGGGCGGTGCTGATTGTTAACCACCAGGTTATCCATCTGATCGCTTCCCGCCCCATGCCATAAAAACATTTTGTTATAATTTTACTGTGCAAATAACAAATTTTTAATGGTTATAGCTAATTTTGTGAAAATAGGCCTTAAATACCTACTTTCTATAACTCGTACATATTTAGGAAATAATCAGAGAGTTCATAATTCTATCCTTAATTATCCATGAATGTTTTTACGGAAGTATTTCACATCGTCTTGCAAACCTTCGTAGAATACAAATCGCATTACTTTTTATGTTGAATGTATAATACAGTATACAGTGTGTTAGAGATGAGATTACAAATAGGTAAACACCCTGTAGTTTAGCTTGAGTAGCTTCACGTAACTTTGTCATTAAAACTATGTTTAATTTATTGTGTTTTGGGTAAATAAATACATATGTAAAATACCTAGATTATATACATACATACATGTGCATTAGTTAGATGTTGGCTAGGTTAAATTAAATAAAAGCTTGGTCAATTTATAGCCAACCTTTTTCAGATTGCATATTTAAATACTTAGATTGAGAAGAAAACTATATTGGTGTCGATTTTAATCAGTTTCTTTCCAATTTGAACCACTAAAGTATTTTGCTAATACAACATTAAAAAGATATTAACGTCATTGAGGAAAGACTCGTGAACAACGAATGCTTATTTATTTGGTCAAGTGCTACCCGGCTTGAAATGACTCACGAATATTATTGTCACATTCATACATACGGGCGTATTTTAGTCGTTGATACGTGAACACCGGAATTCACGAAGAATGACGCCATTCTCTTAATGCCAGTTTGAATATAGGTAATGTACTTAGGTATACACACAAATGTGAATGTAAATAGCTTGCGTGAATTAGAGTAGTTTTAGGTCTTAAGTCACGATTAGTTAAACGCTGGACAAGTCATAATGATGCAAGCAACATTAATGACTAAGCCTTGAGAAATCACTCGAGATGTTGAGAAAAATACCATGGAAGGTATTATCGATTCGCGAACTCGAAGTACCGCATTTCGGACTTATAGAGTTGTTCACGGAAATGGAGCGTTGAAAAGCAATTATAATTGCTTTACTTTATAAATTAAGTAGTTATGTATGCGAATGGTTTTAATAAAACTTATTAAGTAGACATAGAACGTACCTAAGTACTGTGAACATTTGAACGTTTACTTAGTAGGTAGGTACGCAAAACGTAAAATTGTGGTTAGATATTTTATTGGTATTGCGAAACAAGTGATATATGTACTTATAAGAAAGTTTTTATAACTATTCTAAAGAAAAAATTATCAGAGATTGGACGGGGTGTGGCCTGAGTCAGCCACGAGTCGGTTGGTGGCATAGCGGTCGGGCAAGTTAACGATGACCTGGTTGCGAGGGAAGCCCGAGCAAGGTGGGGAGACGACGCCGCCAGTTCTGCATTCGCACTAGTCGCAAACTTGTTCAGTACAATGAGCCGGCTCACGCTCACCAACTGGGTCTCATTTGCCTAGTCATTTCCAGACTTGCTACATTACAAATATGCAGTATGTACTCATAGCGTTCTTTCCGTACCTACACCTATTCTGAAACCTATGTTTACAGTCTTACTCAGAAATGTTGAAAAATACTCAACACATTGACGTCATTTATTATAATTTATAATACATACAAGTGTATGAAACAAGGTAAATAATGCATAATACTTACCAATTAAATTCCAGGTAGAGATGTCGGCACATAACACTAGAATGTTTTTGAAACTGCGCACAGTTTAATTCCACTCATAATTTTAGTAAATTCTTGCAAGCTAAGCTTGATACAGTTGCACCAGAACTGGTTTCATGGTTTCCCGCCTACGCGACTTCATGGCGCCTGGGTGGAATCACAAGTTAACAGCTGCCTTGCCAAATGTTTGTTTGACGATAGTCTGTAAGTAAAACTTTACCTGTACACAGAGTTGTGTAAAATGTGGTAATAGATTATTTGTGACACAAAATTTTTTATTTGTAAAAACGATGAAAACAAATAGGTAAACAAGTCATTTTGGTGACGTGGAAACCACACATCAACAATTGACATTCAGGAAAGCGATTGTTTGTTTTCGAAACGGTTCTTGGAAATATTGTAGAGGCACTGCTACCGCTTATGTTATTGAAATTATGATCATATAATTTTTCGTTAAGGCATGAGTGTTGTCAGATGCAAGAGACAATATAGAAACAGACACTCCCCGTGTGTAGCTCAAGGTCGTGACGTGACGTCGCCAGTCGGCAACAGGCGGTGCCTACGCCAACTAAACAACGCAACAAGTGCCCCTCGCCCCCGCACTTCACATACCATTCGCGAAACACCAGCCGTCATAGAATTACGCCAACCAATTTATGTGGTAGGGTCGAAAGAAACGCTTTGAACTTTGATTCGCTAGGTAGGTACGTTATCATCGATACTTTGGATAAAATTTTGATGACAAACTAATGTGACAGATTGACTCAGAGAATAGGTGCATACTTCCCAGTCTACCCAATTACTAGGATAGGAAAGATAATTAAGATGAAAAACATAGAATTTAAGTAACTTTCGAAATTTCGATGATATTACCGAAAATCAATAATCATAATGATATTTCACCTGCTTAATAATTACAGAAATGTGTATCTCTAAACAGTATCTACCTACATTAATTGGTACAGCAGAACACGTTAAGAAACGAGTTTTTGTCGTCGTGGTCGTCGCCGGAGTATCGCTCGCTTCCTGGCCAACTTGTGTTCACATTCGAGCGACTGCGTGCTATCCTCGAAACGCGTGCGTCATCGCCTCCGCAATACTGATAAGCGCCTACCAATTATCATTGCAAATAATGTGTTTATATATTATACATTCGAATCTAGCCCGACTGCCATGAAGTTTCTTCACTGAAAATAAATTATCATCACTACGTAACGGCGAACACATTATATTTATTTATGCTCGTATTATGCCAGGCTTATTTGTGTAGGTAAACTATGAATATAATATAGAATTTTGATAAAGAGGTCTTACCGATAATAAGTTCACGAGATAAGTTAAATATAGGAAAATGCCAACAATAAATTAATATGTGCTTTATTTTATACTGGATACAGATTTTATATTTCAAATTTCCCAACTTTATTTTTTATTTATTGTGATTAAGAATGTGATTTGGGCTCGTGTTGTTTTTATATTCCCAGATATCATAGCATTTTATCGGTCTAATGCCTTGAAGCTTTACAGTGCCTTAACAACAACAAGGCCTTCTGAGGCGTTAGGTGAAGTCAAATACTAGGTGGAGTGTCCCTTCCAAAAATGCACATCTTGAATGAATAATATATCAACCCGCTTGAAAATTACGTGTTAATTTTTATTACGTTTAATACATTAGCCGATAAAAATACTTTAATTCGTATTTCCAAGAACACTGTCAATGAGCAGCGTGCGCGGACGCGGCGACCGCGCGGTCGCCGCGTCCGCGCACGCTGCTCATGAGGAAGAACCCCTCTGTGGTTCGAAACTAGTAGAGCTTTTCTCAACATTTACACGTGAGTAACCCGCGAATTTTAGTTAATTTAGTATGTCTCACGATAGTTATTATAAAAACACAACACTGTCAATTTTTCATTTGTCTATTTTAATATAATTGCAAACGTGCACCGAATAATTAAATACCTGCTATACTTGCTTACCATGCTATCCAGCATCTTAGACGCATTGTACCAGCACTACGAGGTATCTATAATCGTAGTTCACCTGCTTGCATTATGATAATAATAACGCTTCACCTAATAATACATAATTTATCTCCATATGGATGGCAAAGGTTTCCTGCAATAGAGAATGTAGTTGACGATGGCAAATAAAACCGATACCCGTTCTAGTCGAGCGCAGCCGTTACGAAATCAGCGCTGCATGAAAATTACGTTGCTCGCTATGCCGACCGCCAAATCAACTATAAGTTTCAAAATTTTGATATAACTCTCCCATATATTTTTTTACAACTGGTTAGCTTCTTTACTACTTCCAGAATCAATAGCCGTGATACACAATCACAATCTAAACATTTAACACGTGTTGATATTTTTAAAATATGCAGATTGGGTTCTCCTGTACAGCATAATTATACTTTATCAGTTTTACTGGCAGCTAATATTATTGTACTCAAAAGATTTTCCAGTCAACATAAAATTTAAAGTGATGTCATGTCATCAAAATTTTGATTGATAAGAATTACCTACCTATTTCATTCTAAAATGTAAGAGCTTTCTCTTCCCCACAGACTAGTACCTATAATAACAAAAAATACATAAGTAAGATTTGACTTATAGTTAAAGCGCAGGTTAAAGTCCGTGCATATTATGTAGATACATATAAATAGATTACGAAGAACAACCGATCCGGTTGCGGTGAAGGAGGGAGATAGATAAAACGCGACATGAATCACTACTTACAGCGGGCGCAGAGTGCGGTGCGCGGGTAGGAACGCGGGTGGCGCGGGGAGCTGAACGGAACGAAACGAACAAACCAACGACATTACAAACAGTTGAACACTCATCCGCCGTGCGGGAACGTACTCTGTTCCTTCTTCGAGTGTACGATAAACGAGACCTATTCCAGCATATAGACAAAACAAATAAATACTCGTAATCTCGTATGTTAATAATTGTTATCGTTTGCTAAAAAGAAAGTGGCGTCGCAATACCAGAGTGTTAGTGAGACTTGTGTGACGATAACACAGGTGTTGTCTGTGTGTGTGTGTGCCGTGTGGCGTGGATCGTCGCGCAATTATTAACGATGATTCACTTGTGCGCGGGTGAAATGCAGCCTATCGGACTTGTTGACATTTGTTCTGGAGGCGTCAACAAATGATATCAAGGCAGCAATGATATAATGGTGGACTGATCAATTTTGCCGCGGTAAGAACAGAGCTCGTTTGTTTACTCATACATATTAAAAGCTCATTTATAGATGTGCAAATAAAATATTTTTTTAAATTATGAAATAAATACTTGATACCTACCTATTCTACTATCGTAAGTTGCTGAACCGCTTGCTACAGGGGTCAAGGATTCAAAATAAAATTTCTTTATCAATATTTTATTCATCAATACGTATTTATTCTAAAAAGATAACATCAGCTGCCTACCATACGGAGCTGATGTTATCCTACTGTTAATTATCATTATAGTAGTTAAGTAATTGTGACTAAATATCGAGGTGTAACGTATAGGTACTAATTTATACTCATTTTTATTAGATAGTTTACGATTTGCAACGCAATGGGAAACATTAAGTATTTTATTATTATAGACACATATAATCACAATAATCTTCTTATTTCGACCATGCAGACTCTGTCAAGTCAAGAGGTCGCCTGCCAGTTCATTGATGTATTATTTAGGTACCTAAAATTTTATTCGTAATATTACATGCATGTTTCTAATCACCACTCTTACATCATTTTTTTGTTATCATATTTTCAAGGTTTCACGAGAAAACAATGTTTACTTACTTTTTACAATAAATACCATTGGTTCGATACACTCTAATTAAGCGTCAACAATTTAATTAACATCTGAAACTGAAAAGTAAAAACAGGAATTCATAATTTATTTGCAAAGTGAAACTAAATTTAGCATTAGGTGGGTAAACAAGCGCTGAGATCGTGCAGATCGTATAATAAAAACGTTAGCCAATATTATAATGCTTCTGTTAAGTGAAGTGATAGGTAGAAGCAATGGAAGCTGGCGGCGTGCTGGCGGCCGACACAGGCGTCGCCAGGGCCGCCTGGCTTGGCGCCAGGCCGGCGGGCGGCGGCCGGCCGCCGGGATTCCTTTGTCTCATTACAACACTACCAGTTTCTGCCACTTGCCTTCGGGATCACTTTCTTCACGTTTTTAAAGAACCACTTGCTTCATAATTGCAGATCTCCTAATTCTCCAAAACATATAAAGTTGTGTTTTGCTAATAAGGTAATAGGAACGACATTGATGTAGGTAAAACTTTACCTAATAATATAAATGACAGAATAAACATAGCTTTCTTTTTCTGTCAAATATATTTTCTAATCTCTAAGTTTGTATGAATACCTATCCCTACATCAATACAACGCTTGCCAGTCGTTATTTAAATAGGTAGCACACACACAGTGACCCGAATGCCCATACATAAAGACAAGATTTCAGCTGTGTGTGTGTGTGTGTAAGCGGCAAGTGCGTACTGAGCTTATTTGCTTGCCTGTTCTTAAACGAACGGAGCGGCATGGTTGTCTCCACTTCTCAGAAATTGTAACGCCTTCTCGGAACGTACCAACGACGCAGCCGTCCACAAACGACTCAAGTGAGCGCAAGCGAGGTCGTCCGCCATCGTACTACTACACGTATTCGAAATGTGTAGATAACACTCACACTTACAAAACCTTATTTCTCACATCTTGTTTTGTGATTGTGCTAAGTACGCTACAACTAAACCTTCAGCTATTTGTTATAATGTGTTACCACATCACTAGAAATTTATTTCTATCAAAATAATTATACTTAGTAAGTATGTTGGTGTTGTAACTTGAAAGAAAAGAAATAATAAGTAGGTAGCTAATTAGTAAAGTTAAATTTTATAAAAATATATATCTTCTAGATCGTCTTTAATGAGTATAAAATAAATGTCAAACAATAATCAGAAATGATTTTTTTATCCATGTTCAAAAATAACTACCTATATCAATTTAGTCAGTGTAAAAACTATGACAGAAAGCAGCGCCGACTGGGGATATCCTCGTCTAATAGCGTGACGTCACGGTGATGTCACACTACACACCAATAGAAATAGCACGGCACATGCGCGTTGAGTTGCGTCAACACGTTCACCGCATCGCTGTTCGCTGTTTTGTGTCGAGTGCTTTTCAATGGCTTGACATAGGAAAAATGATCTTGAATGAATTATTTACATATACAAAAATTGCGTATAAAACAACACTGCTCTGTTTATTCAATGTTAGTGTGCGCTTTTTCCACATAATTGTTCTTAAGTTTCGAAAGTTAATAATTATAATAAATAGTAGAATTCACAAAAAAAACAAATAAGCAAAATTTGTCCAACTTTGAAAATCCGATTGCAGTGACAGTGAAAATGTTGCCGGCGCCGATGACGTGGTGGAAATATTTTGATTGTTTCGGGTTTATAGATTACTATGTAAGATGTACCTACAATGCAACCTATTGAACTATATGTAGGTATAGATAAGTAGAACAATATTATTTTCAGCTAAACATTTTTGTATCATTGTTATCTTTTGATTAATTATGAGTATTTAAAATACTAAGTGATGTTTTATAATTTATTCTAATATTTGTATCGTATCATTTTTAACGGAAGCTAAAATTTTACCTTTTTCCTGAAATTTTTTTTCGTATTCTATTGTTGGATTGCGTGATAAATATCAAGATTAGTTGTGATAAATAAAATATTAAATAATAAAGCTAATTTACTAATAATACACGTAGGTTACAAAATATTTCATATTTAAATTTTAAGTTGTTCGTTTTGTAAAATAGTGTGCTACGGTGGTTTTCCGTATGTCGTTATTTGTCTATTTAGTGGCTTTTTATCTAATCTCATATGAAAATTATCGTGCGCAATGCGAAAACAGTCAAGAGTGTATGTTGTATCCGTATACCAGACATTATGTTGGCAATGGTAGCTACCTGGAATTTAAAATAAACCTATTACAATGGGTCCTCAGACAAGAAGTCTGATTGATTTTTTTCTTAACTTTGTCGACTTGTAGTGTTTTTATTGGTAAGGTGGTTTTGTTCTGGATGTATGTCTATCAATACAAACCTTATTTTAATGTGATTCAGCACCTGATGGTAAGCAATCCGCGCCGTCCATGGAAGGGTGACGGTTACTGAACTTGCAACACCATTAGAGTTGCAAGTGCGTTACGATTGGGAAGGATGGGTGAAGCGGAAGGATTGGGCCT